ATTGTTAAATGAAGTTTAAAAAGCAGACGAGATATTTTTAACAATGAAATAACTGACATAAATGTTACATTTGTGTAACAGGACAACTTGCTCTTCGTGTGATTACATATAACACTGAAGTATAACAATGCCTTACCTGCCAGGCACGTGACAGTCCACTCGGGCCAAATTTATTCAGTTGGAGGTAGAGACAGGTCACAGTCTTGCAATGGATATATGTTATGATTTGGAAGAGCGATGTACCCACAGTGCAAACTGAAATAGAATGGCGAGTTTATATATCATTACTTGGATCACGAAAGCTAGAGAAGTAATTTACATGATGATTATTTACCGTATTTGTTATTAACAACTTCCGTATAAAAGTAAGCTAACTATGTAAAAGTAAAAGGTTATTTATGAATTATTGAAGCGGAACATGAGTAAAAAATTACAAGAAAACTAAAACCTATACTGATTAAAATACATAGTATAAACATCTGGGTACCTTCACAATTAATGATATATTAAACCAACTTCTCATTCTTTAGGGAACGGATGAATGTAACAGATAAACAACCAATCTTGTTTTATATTACAAAAGAATAAGAGAAAATTGTTAACTTTCAAAGATTTTTGTCAAGTAAAATCTGGCTGGCTGTTTATGTAATCATTCAAATAATTTGTTTCTTGTTGAAAGATGAAGCTAGAAAAACATTCCAAACAAAATGTCAAGCAGACATGCATTTTAACGTTCAGGATGGATGACGAGATTTGTAGCTTCCAGAACATCGTATTATTAGTAACAGTTAATAGTTACTCTTGTACCAATTTTAGATGTCTGTAGGCGTCATTACTTATAAAAAAAAATAACAGAAAATTGTTATTTTTTAAATATTTTTATAAAATGATATTAAATGCAATCTGTTTGTCTGGATGTTTATGTAATTATTGAATAATTTGTTCCTCTTTTAAAGTGAAGTTTAAGAACAAACAGAAGAATTAAGACGTGTACAAAAAAAAAAGTCAAGAAGGCGTATTTTTCAACGTTGTGAATGGAAGACAAGATTTTTAGCTTCCAATATTTCGTATTATTATTATTAAAAGTTAATGGTTACTTTTGTAATCATTGAAAATTAATACGAATGTCATTACTTACTGAGTAGAAAACCCAGGTAAAGGTATAAGGCTGATGTTGAATGTCATACCGTCCTGAATCATCACAAAATGATAAAGAGTGCAAACAGTCAATTATAACAACTATGAATTGTGTATACACGTTACGTAAAATTAAATATTTGGGGAAGAGAATGCTTATATAAATAGTCTAACAGTCTATGAAATTCTGATGGACAAAAATATTTGAAAATAATAACTAATATTTCAAAAAGAGTCGAAATAAATACTTTTAAGAGCTATTCTAAATTTTTAATTATTTTGAATACCCAAAACTTAAGTAGGAATGATATATTTAAAGATTGCATTATGTGTATTTAATGAACAATATTTATATATTAGAAAACAAACTTTTAAATATTTCATTGAATAATGCAATAACACATAATATACCAAGTATGTCAAAACCTTCCAGTAACCTAATATCTGAAACATGTCTTTATACTGGTGAATAATAGTTAACTTTTGAAAACAGCGTGTATCTAAAAGTGTCAATGTTTATTATATAGATTAACCTGCAAATATGTATTTAATCAACTTACCTTCATATGACCATATGTGTGTAAGTAACGATCATAACGGGTCTGGTCCAATGAGCCTAGAAAGTTTTAACATGAACCTTTAGGAAACCCTTTATCATTGGATAATTGTTTAAACACGCTAAGGTTTTACTTCAAATGTTTACGTGAAAGATATGTTCGTTTATATACATTAACAGATTCGTAATCATGGTATCTTACAATAAAATATGAATGATAGCAACATGCGATACTAAATAAACTGGTAACAAATGCTACAAACGAGAACATTTCAACGTAGTGTATTTCAAATAGATAAACAACCGTATAGTATATTTTTCCCCGGAAGGAAAAAACTAACTTTGAATTAAAAATAACATAGCTTTCGAAACTTACTGCTCTGTCTAGTTTTTAATCCCCATAGCAACATTTCCTTTTCATCTTGATCTTCGAAAGTAACCGTTCCTTTCCACTGGCCCCATTGATCATAGCGATCTTGAGATTCGGCAATTCTTTAAAATATAATATTTTAACTTGTTTCGGATATTAGATAATTTGTTTATATTTTCATAATTGGTTTGATTTTCATACAGTTGTTAAATCATTAAACTAAATTCTTCCTTAATATACTAACATATTTACCACATCCTTTTCATTATCATGTTATAATGAGGTAATTGTTAGGTTTTTTCCGAAATAAACTTTTGTTTAAAATTGTACCTTTGTTTGTGAATATAATTTCTTTTTATCCAATGCTCCTCAAATTTCGTTATGATGGAAAATTTGTGAACATTATGTTAGTCCTAATCTTTACCAGTTACCAAGTTGCATACATTTACAATTTGGTTTCAGTATCATACTAATATTTTTTAATAAGAAAATATTTTTATAAGATCGATTTCATGCAATAAAATGTAAACTAACCTTTCGTAAGAGTGAAATCCTTGCCTCCACGTACCAGATGATACAACCTCACTAATAAGTTTAGGTCAGAAGTCGATCTTAAAGTCAAAAGGCAAATTTGTCACAGCCCATCTAAAATAATGAAATTGTTAATTGTTAAAAAGAATGTAGTTATCCATATGTTAACCCATTTACTGATTAACTCATCATTTAAAAATAATTCTTATCGTCATGCAAGTTGAATGTTATTTTATTGTTCTTGCTGTCGGATTCATTTTGTTATTTTTTTCTAAAGAGGTCAGTTAATTATAAGGACAACACTTACATGAAAGAAAACTTCACATGGACATCCTCTTCTTGAATCTGAACTCCAGCTGGAGTGATTTTCCTAACAGTGACAATAGTACACAGCTACAAAGTTCGGATGTCAAACACAGTCGTTATCATGTACACATTTCGAAACCAACTTACTCTTCGGCGCTATATTACTTTTGATATGT